GGTGGAGAGATAGTAGTGGTGAACAAGGAAATGGCTGAGGAAGTGAACAATTACTTCGTGTCAGTCTTCACAGTGGAAGGCACGAGTAATATCCCAAAAATTTAAGAGAGTCAGGGGGCAGAGCTGAGTATGGTGGCCATCACCAAGGAAAAGGTGCTGGTAAAACTGATTGCCTGAAGGTGAATAAATCACTTGAACCAGATGGACTACACCCCGGAGTTCTAAAGTAGATAGCTGAAGAGATAGTGGAGGCGTTAGTGATGATCTTTCAGGAATCGTTAGAGTCAGGGAGGGTCCCAGAGGACTGGAAAATCGCTAACCCATTTAAAAAGGGAGTAAGGCAAAATATGGAGAAATATAGGCCAATTAGCCTAACCTTGGTCGTAGGTAAGATTTTGGAGTCCATTGTAAAGGATGAGATTTCTGAATATTTGGAAGTGTATGGTAAAATAGGGAAAAGTCAGCATGGTTTCATCAAGGGGAGGTCATGCCTTTCAAATCTGCTACAATTATTTGAGGAAGTAACAAGCAGCGTAGACCAAGGAAAGCCAATGGATTTTATCTACCTGGACTTCAAGAAGGCCTTTGACAAGGTGCCACACAGGAGGCTGCTGAGTAAGATAAGGGCTCATGGTGTTAGAGGCAAGGTGCTAGCATGGATAGAAGATTGGCTGTCTGGCAGAAAGCAGAGAGTGGGGATAAAAGGGTCTTTCTCAGGATGGTAGCCAGTGACAAGTGGTGTTCCGCAAGGGTCAGTATTGGGACCACAACTTTTCACTTTATACATTTACGATCTAGATGAAAGAACTGTGAGCATTCTGGCTACGTTTGCAGACGATATAAAGATAGGTGGAGGGACAGGTAGTATTGAGGAGATGGGGAGGCTGCAGAAGGATTTGGACAGGTTAGGAGAGTGGGCAAAGAAGTGGCAGATGGAGTACAATGTGGGAAAGTGTGAAGTCATGCACTTTGGTAGGCAGAATAAAAGCGGTGACAATTTTCTAAATGGGCAGAAAATTCAGAAGTCTGAAGGTAAAGAGACTTGGGAGTTCTAGTCCAGGATTCTCTCAAGGTAAGCATGCAGGTTGAGTCAGTAGTCAGGAAGGCAAATGCCATGTTGGCATTTATTTTGGGAGGGCTTGAATCTAAAAGCAGGGATGTACTACTGAGGCTTTATAAGGCTCTGATCAGGCCATATTTGGAGTATTGCGTGCAGTTTTGGGCCCCATATCTCAGGATGGATGTACTGACCCTGGAGCGGGTTCAGAGGAGGTTCACGAGAATGGTCCCAGGAATGAAAAGCTTAACATATGAGGAACGTTTGAGGACTCTGGGACTATACTCATTGGAGCTTAGAAAGATGAGGGGGGATCTAATTGAAACTTACAGAATACTGAATGGCCTGGACAAATTGGATGTTGGGAAGATGCTTCCATTGGTAGGAGAGACTAGGACCCGAGGGCACAGCCTTAGAGTAAGGGAAGACCTTTTAGAACGGAGATAAGGAGAAAATTCTTCAGCCAGAGAGTAGTGAATCTATGGAGTTCACTGCCACAGAAGGCTGTGGAGGCCAGGTCATTGAGTACATTAAGACTGAGATAGATAGGTTCTTGATTATCAAGGGGATCAAGGGTTACGGGGAGACAGCGGGAGAATGGGGTTGAGGAACTTATCAGCCATGATTGAATGGTGGAGCAGACTCGATGGGCCGCTATCGCCTCCCCCTCTCTCCCTATTTATTTCAGAACTCCCTTCCCCTCCCACATTTCTGATGAAGGGTCTAGGCCCGAAACGTCAGCCTTTCTGCTCCTATGATACTGCTTGGCCTGCTGTGTTCGTCCAGCTCTGCACCTTGTTGTCTCGGATTCTCCAGCGTCTGCAGTTCCTACTATCTCTCTTCATCCTGAACAACTCTTCTTTTAACTCTTCTTATTTTCTTCAGGTCAGAGGGTTGGCCATGGGTACCCACATGGGCCCCAGTTATAAAAGAGTTATTCTCTTTGTGGGGCATGTGGAACATTCCTTATTGCAGTCCTATTCTGTCCCCACCCACAACTGTTTCTCTGAAATATTGATGATATTATCAGTGCTGCTTCACTCTCTTGTCTGGAATTGGAAAAGTTTATCGATTTCACTTTCACCTGGTCCATCTCTGACTCCTTCCTTCCTTGACATCACTGTTTCCATTTCTGGGGACAGGCTGACCACCAACATCCCCTATAAACTCACCGACTCCCACAGTTACCTCTATTACACATTCTTACACATTGTTTCCTGTGAAAAATATTCCACACTGCCAGTTCCTCTGTTTCGTTACATCTATTCTGATGATGCCAATTTCGTCGGGGGGCCTCTGAAATGTCCACCGTTTTCCTCAACAAAGGATTCCCCAGCACCGTTGTTGACAGGTCCCTTAGCCAAGTTCAACCTATCTCCCTGACTTTGGCCCTTATCTCTTCTCTTCCCTCCCGCAACTGCGATAGGGCTCCCCTTCTCCTCAACTACCATCCCACCAACATCCACATTCAGAGCATCATTAGTTGCCATTTTTGCCACCTCCAGCGAGATACTACTACTAGACACATATTCCCCTCCCATCCCTTGTCAGCTTTCCACAGAGACTGTTCCCTCTGGGACACTCTTCCTTCACTCCCAACAACCCCCACAACCTCACGGCACCTTCCCTTGCAACCACAGAAGGTGTAACACCTGTCCATTTACTCCCTCCCTCCTCAGAATCCAAGGGCCCAAACACATCTTCCAGGTGAAGCAGTGTTTTACCTGCAGTTTATGCGATCTAGTCCATTGCTTTTGCCACATGGTCTCCTGTACAAGGGAGAAACAAAGCATAGACTGGGTGACCACTTTGCAGAACACCTACATTCTGTCCGCAAAAAAGACCCTGAGCTTCAGTTACCTGCCACTTTAACACACAACCCTGTTCCCTGGCCGACATCTTTGACTCAGGTTTGCTGCAGTGCTCCAGTGAAGCTCAGTGCAAGGTGGAGGAACAGCACCTCAATTTCCACTTGGGGACTCAACATTGAGTTCAATAACTTTAAGGCTTGAGCTTTCCCATGTCCTTATCCCAACCCCACATATCAGGCCTTGTTAACACATTGTCAGCTATTACACACAACCCATTGTTAGCCACTAAAAGCCCCCATCTAGCCAGATCATTACCCACTCCTTTATCTGTTCAACTGTTCTCCTCTATCCTTGGGTGCTATCCCCACCTATCATTTACTGTTTACCCCCTTCAAACCCTCACCCTATCTTCTGCATATAAACTGACATTTTCCTACCTACCATCAGTTCTGAGGAAGGCTCACTCGACCCAAAACGTTAAGTCTGATTTCTCTCCACAGACATTGCCAGGCCTGCTGAGCTTTTCCAGCAATTTCTGTTTTTGTTTCTGATATACAGCCCCCACAGGTTTTTCAGTTTTTAATCTTGTAAATTGTCTGTTCAATGCCAATGTCAGCGCTACTGGTAACCTCCACTGCAACAACTGCATCATTCAACTATCTGCTTTATACCCGTTTTCTTTTAATTTTTATCATTTTGAACACACCACATTTCTAATCTGAGGAGGAGTGTTGCATTACTGATATATTTTGTGTGTTTAGTAATTAACAAATTGAAATGGGGGGACACAATTTTAAAATAAGAGATCTTACTGTTAAGAAAGATGAGGATTTGTTTTTCTCAAAGGGTTCTTAATCTGTGGAATTCCCTTGCCTTGTAAACTGGGAAAGCTGGGTCATTGAGTTAATTCAACATTGAATTAGATTTTTGCGACATTAGGCATCAGCATTTATGGTAGAGGTGAAAGGAGAGGTACAGACAGGAAGGTGGGGTCGAGACCACAATCTTAACAAATGTTGGAGCAAATTTCAAGAATCAAATTGCAAGTAGTATGAAATCATACACGATTCTGAGGGTATGGTAATTACCAGAAGGCATGACGTAAGATCCTAACTTTTTTTAAGCAAAATTATATCTTTTCACTGGACTCTATGCTGTACTGATAAAATAGCTGCCACCAATCATACAATGCCAGGTCACTGACTTCAGGAAAGGTTTGACCAGCATTAACCAGGGGACAAAGGCTCACATCATACCCTAGAATGTTACCTTCCTTGTGTTGTATTGATATTGCAGTTAAGCCAATACAAAGAACTACAGATGAGATGTCTACACCAGTCAGTTCTGATTAAAGGGAGAGCTATTGAAACTCATGTCTGAGAAGACACTAACAATCCCACAGCTATTTGCTACAAAACATAGTGGTTTTTGACAAAGGGCATCAAATTCAATTTATTTACTGTGTCGCTCAACTAAAGCCCCAGTCACATGACTGAAACTGCTCGTTCGTTTAAGTAACCTTCAATTTTAGTTTTAACTTCTCTCCCTTAGAATGCTTTTTACATCAGCACAGCCAACACAACAGCCAGGGGCTTAGCCAAGGCCTGCCTCGATCTCTCTCAAAGACATTCTGCTGGAGCAGCCAATTGCAAAACGTCACTGAATATTGACTTACTGGTCTCTAATTCATTTGAATTAATGCCAACATCTTGGAATTCTAAAGTAATAAACTTTCCTTTTCTCCCCTTTCTTTTTGCCCTGTGTGTATGTGCATTACAAACTATTATCTACGCAGCACTGATAACTATTATTTTGTTTTAATTCTAACGAATTTGTGGTGAATCATTTTCAAATTGGACTTCACACAGTTTGAAGAAAACACACTATTGTCTATCCCGAGGACTCCTCTCATCCACATTCCCCATATCAATGGCTCCGTTTCTCATTCTCTTCATGAACACCCTGCCCCATCCTCACCGTCACACTGAAACCCCCTTCGCTCTGTCCCGCGTCCCACCCGAAGATTCTATCTCGAAAACTACACTCGCCCACTTCCCCAGTGATCTCCACTCCCTGTCAACTCCGACTCTTCAATGGCCACCATGACCAAATCCATCATCCGCTCACCTCGCATCGACTCTGTCTCCTGGAGTTAAGTAACCGATGGGGAAATGTGTTTGCGTTGCGTTATCATGTCGTCCTTCCTAACAGCGTTTTCCACGATATTTGCAGGCTAATTTGCTTTCAAAATACACTTCAGCACTCGCGTTGAAACGTCATGCTGACAAGTTGTGTTACAAGCCCAACCTAATAAGGCGTATTTAAACAAGACAAACATTAAAATATATCAATTTATTTTAATTTCAGTAAAGTGGGTAGGATCTCTCCGTCCCTCCCCCCAATTTCGGTTGTTGCGGAAACCCTGTTCAAAGTTGTGCAAATCAGAGATTGTTGAGGTCAAAGGCCATTTTTGTATTAGTGATGTATTAAATATTCCCTGTCTGGTACAGGAGCGGAAAAATCCACCCCTCTGGGTTAACTTCAATAAAATCGAGGAAGTGAAACTAACGCAGAAAACAAGGCGGCGGAATGGCTACGAAGGTAATGAGAAATGTGCCAGTTCCTCGGGAGTTTAGTGAACCGGAGTCGGTTACCGAAGCGGGGGCCCGGGCCCTGGCCCTGGCCCTGGTTATTGAAGCCGTGGCTCGGGGCGGGGGGACGGTTAGTGAAGCCGGGGGCTCGGGCTCGGGCGGGGTGGGACGGTTAGTGAAGCCGGGGGCTGGGGCTGGGGCTGGGGCTCGGGCGGGGTGGGATGGTTAGTGAAGCTGGGGGCTGGGGCTGGGGCTGGGGCTCGGGCGGGGTGGGACGGTTAGTGAAGCTGGGGGCTTGGGGAGGGGTTGAAGAAAACACTTTTTGCTGCTCTGCGCCGTCACCTCGAGCTCCGGCCTGGTCTGGCTGTTGACGGTAAGTAGAGGGGCCTGGGCACTGGCGACCCTTGGTCCCGCTGGTTCCCATGACCCAGGCCGGCTCTTTGCTGAGCAAGTCAGATGGAAGGGCGGCTGATGCGGCTGTCGCGGAATATGGAAGCTTTTCTAACCGTATTTGACTCTAAAATTGAATCATTAGTGAATGAAATTCCGCCACACACTATGGTTCCTAAAGTTTCAAAGATAAATCAGGATAAAAATAGCAAAGATCGTAACGAACTTCCACAGAAAGTTGAGGATGTTTTACCACGACATTTAGGCTAGTTTTGCCTAAAAAGACAAATTAGTAATCAGTGACACCTTTCGTTTCGTTGCTGGTGGTATTAAGCGATGTGAACCTCCTTTTTGAATGGATTGGAAACTGATAACCAGCGATAACTGGGTGGGGGACTACTTGTGCTGTCTGGTTCTGTCAGTTTTGATTTAACTCCGGCCATTTAAAACACACCTATTCCCATCAAGCGGCAGAGGAGATATAGGATTTTGCTGTGATAGGGAAAAGAAAGTTAAAAGCAAATCACATTAAAATCCGTGATTGCTTTTAGGTGTAGTGAAATCTAAAGAAACTATGCTGGATTGTTCGTGTGACTCGTTCACTGAGGGTACTCGTAAAAGAAGTGATTCATACAATGGACGTGATATATTCAAACAATTTGATTTTAAAAAATGCCTTTCAAGTGTTTTAGGCAGTGTCTCAGCATGAGATGTATGATTGACAAATGCATTTTGTTCTATGCGGTATTCATTAATTTTGATTCAGTTGTCAACCCACGCTGGGTTCACATACTTTTAAGTTTCTTATGCTCATAAAAGGCCCCTATTTAAGTTTATTATACAAATGGAAGACTACCAGCTCCTGCATTACACGCTTTGCAACAAATTGACTGAGGCTACTTGCCAAAATGCTGTGATTCAATCTGCATTCACTGGACTAGTTTTTAAAGTATTTCTTCTTGAGGTGTGGACAACTCTTGGTTAGGTCTCACTTATTGCTGATATCTGACTGCATTGAGCAGATGACTGCATCATTTGGAACTTGTATAAGACCACAGGACCAGGGGCAGAAGTAGGCCATTTAGCCCGTCAAGTTTATTCCACCAATCAGTGAGATTATGGCTGAAGTTAAATCATCAGTTCCACTTTTCTGCTTTTCTCCTTAGCCCCTTAATATCCCTGGTGATTAAAACTCTATCTGTGCCTTGAATACATTTACTTACCCAGCCTCAACAGACCTCACGTGTAAAGAGTTCCTTCGATTCACAATCCTCTAAGAGAAGAAGTTCCTCTACATCTGTTTTTTAAATATGTGGCCTCTTACTCTGAGATTGTGCCCTTTGGTCCTAGACTATCCCACAAGTGGAAGCGATGTTTCCACGTCTACCCTTTCACGTCTGCTAAGAATCTTGTATGTTCCAATAAAGTTGCTTCAGATTCTTCTATATTCCAATGAGTATTCAATCTCCCCTCAGAAGACAAGACATTCCTAGTATCAGCTGAGTGAACTTTTGGGCATGACATGATATCAAGCTCTTCTGCCTTCTTTGACCGTAAGCCCGTTCCTTTGGACAAGAGTCCTATTGGTC